AGATAATTATATACACATAAAAAAATCACAAAACGATGTGGCCATGCCAATGAGAACAACCCTCAAAAGCTAGAAATTAACACAAACGTAAACTACACATGCGTAACAATTACTTAAGAATTACTCACCAGAAGCAAACATAAGAAGAAAGCAAAAGAGGACAGCACAGATACTTATTTTGCTAACTTTAGGTTGAGCCATTTCTTAAAACTTTTTGAGATGCTTTGTGAAATCAAGTTTATCAGAGGGTCTACTTATAGTGACACAAAAACAATTTTTTAACATACACTTGTGCTTAATTAACCTTTAACACGCAAAATAAAGAAAATGTCAAGTTAACGTTTTGAACTGATCAAATGTTTTCCTTCTTGAACCACCATGAAAGTAACAAGAACTTACTACTGAATAAAAAAAGTAATAATATTGATCAAGGTAAATTACAAAGACTTACTGGAAGCCTGATGATAGTCTTTTATTAATTATTCTTTTCTATGGTTTGTTGCTTTTTCCCCTTCTCTCTCTTATTTTGAAATATTAGTAGTAAATTGAATTATTAAGGGTTTGTCACCCTACACGTAACGGTAACTCATTATTTGTGAAAAATACTAATGGATTCAACTAATATTATTGATAGTGTAAACAATTTTATATAAGTGTTGAATTTTATCATGTTGTAGCATATAATTTGCCTTTTTTTTCAAGTTACTTATTCCATTTTATGGACTATAGTATATAGTTATCTTCTATGTGATTTGATTGTGGAATTATTCAATAACACTATTATATTAGTGTATAGAAGTTGAACGCTAAACTAATTCAGCTTGTAACAGTACATCATCTTGTTAAAAAATAAAAGTAATGAAAACAAACTTCAAGCTTAAATACTTGTATGACTTAAAACTAATAGTCGACACAAGTGGTTGAGAAACTTGTAGGAAAAATGACACTGTGTAGCCGCTGTAAAAATAATAGCCGAAAAAATGTATAAAATTTGTATATTTTTTGTATATATATACATTCGGTATGTTATATACAAACATTATACAAATTTTATATACTTTTTCGGCTACCAAATATAAATAGTTTTTGGCACGGGCAAAAAATGATAATACCCCAAACTTGTACAGGAGAACAAAACCCAAGTGGAATTGGTAGAGACAGAAAGTTGTACTGTAAAAAAGGAATTAAAGATCAAGTTGCTTCAAGTTTGAAATTTTCAAAACTATAGTAATGTATTTGTTGGATTATAATGAAACTAAGATACATTTGCATGTTAAATTAATTGATATCTACTCTCTAAGGAAGCACGTAGCAATCAATAGGAGTGAGAATCAGTCGATCAGTTCAGTTCAATTTTTCTTTTATTTTCGATTCAATTCCATTTTTCTTAATTTTGACTTAATTAAATCAGTTCGATCATGTCTGCTTGAGACTTATTTGAACCTTTGTAATTAAGTTGGGCTTTTGATTAAACCTTTATGCTTACTTGATAAGTTATGCGAGTGTGATTTTGATTATTTGTCAAATTACATGTAAAAACTAGATAGGAACCTAATACAATCAGTTGCTCTTGTGCTCTTTGCAACATACCTTGTTGATTGGTTTAATTCTCAGGGAAAACAAATGAGGGAACAGCATAGGGAACATACAGGATCAGTTCTTCAGTTCGTCGCGCAAGTTCGTCGCGCAAGTCAATTCTATAGTTGTTAAAGCTGTTGCACTGTACTTGCAACAGTACAGCAGCACAACTGCAATTTACTAAACCGGAAATGCCCTTGTAACTAACCTCATCATCTCACATATATAAACAACATGTTACAAGGTATTGACCTAATACTTGCAATTACAAAAACACATATTTTTCAACTGCGCAGCCGCCTTTGTTTCCCTCAAGTACATTGAAGAACAAAGCAGCTACAAAACAAAGGACCAGATCCCAACATTGAATATGTCATGTGTTCTTTAGTATTGTTATGTCTTTGTCTTATGTTTTTTATTTATAATTCCGACACAACATTTTTAGAAGTATTTAGTAGGACATTATTTAACTGTCATTGCTTTTGGTTGTTGTCTAGAGTTAGTCAAGAGAGTGACTTTATAATAGAGTTATTACAAAGAGCTTACAATAGAATTATTGTAAGAGGTGAGGGATTAAGAGTTTAATTCCTAGATTGTAATAGGTTGTAATTTGAAGTTTGCTCGGTTAGTGAAGTTGAAATCCTACCAAGGTAGGTCGTGATTTTTAATCCCGTGAACTGGGAGTTTTTCACATAAATATTGTGTGTTTTTTACTTACTGTTGCTTACTGTGGCAACTGATAGAGAACCTGGTTCTCTATACTGTTTAGTGGACCCTTAGTTTCTATCAATTAGTATCGGAGCGGGCACTTTCTAAAAGGTTGACACCTAGAAAGGATCTTCATGGTTGCTCCACCAAACTTCAAGGAAGGACAATCAACCTACAGACCACCAAAATTCAACGGCCAATACTATGGTTGGTGGAAAATAAGAATGCACGAAGCTTGTAGAATTTATTTCGGCGTGTCCTTCTTCGATTACCGATCTCGAAAGTTGAACTACATTCCCCGAGCCCGTATCATCTACCTCGACCGATGACCCCAAATTCGCCAGTGCGTCGGCCTCACTATTCTGTTCCCGTGGCACATGTCGTAAAGTCCATCGTTTGAAATGGCGCAAAGTTATAAGTNAAATGGCGCAAAGTGATAAGCAGTTTATCTAAATACCTCTGCATTCTACCTTCTCGAACTTCGAAAGTTTTGTTTACTTGACTTACCACCAGCAAGGAGTCGCAGTTGGCTTCAATGATTTCTGCTCCCAAATTTTTAGCTAGCTCGAGACCTGCAATCATGGCTTCGTACTCGGCCTCGTTGTTAGTCAACCTGATAATTTTAATAGATTGTCTAATAATGCCACCCGTGGGTGGTTTCAAAACTATGCCCAGCCCAGACCCCTTTACATTTGAAGCCCCATCCGTAAAAAGGATCCATACCCCCGATGATGTACCTGATTTCAATAGTTCTTTTTCAGCTTCGGGTATGAGGGCTGGTGTGAAATCGGCCACGAAGTCTGCTAGGACTTGAGACTTGATGGCTGTGCGGGGTCGATATTCTATATCGTACCCACTGAGTTCGACGGCCCATTTGGCCAGTCGGCCTGATAACTTGGGTTTGTGCAAAATATTACGAAGTGGGTAAGTAGACAATACGCATATAGGGTGACATTGAAAGTATGGCCTTAACTTCCTTGAGGCGCTTATCAGTGCAAGCGCCAACCTTTCTAGGAGCGGATATCTAGTTTCCGCCTCTCCTAAGGTTCGACTTGTATAATAAACTGAGAATTACGTACCTTGATCTTCTCGAACTAGGTCACCGCTTACGGCGACTTCCAATACTGCCAAGTACAAACAAAGTTTCTCATCGGTTTTTGGAGTGTGAAGCAGTGGTGTGCTTGATAGATATCATTTTAGTCCTTCTAATGCTTGTTGGCACTCCGGGTCCAAGGAAAATCGTTCTTCTTTTTGAGTAGAGAAAAAAATTTATGACTTCGATCAGACGATCTTGATATGAATCGGCTTAGGGCAGTGATCCGACCCGTTAGTCTTTGCATGGCCTTCACGCTGTCTACGACGGTGATGTCTTCGACGACCCTAATTTTATCGGGGTTAATCTCTATTCCCCGATGTGATACCATGAAGCCGAGGAACTTTCCCGAACCGACCTCGAAGGCACATTTTTCGGGGTTGAGCTTTATTTTGTATTTCCTCAGAATCTCGAACATTTCCTGCAAATGAATTAAATGGTCCTCTGCGCGCAGGGATTTGACTAACATGTCATCAATATAAACCTCCATTGATTTTCCTATTTGTTCTTCGAACATTTTATTCACTAGGCGTTGGTAAGTGGCCCCTGCATTTTTTAGCCCGAAGGGCATCACATTATAACAATACGTTCCATATTTGGTGACAAATGAGGTTTTTTCCTGGTCCTCCGGGTTCATCTGTATTTGATTATACCCGGAATAGGCATCGAGAAAAGTGAGGATCTCGTGGCCGGCTGTGGCATCGATCAAGCGATCAATGTTGGGCAACGGAAAAGAATCTTTGGGGCATGCTTTGTTCAAATCCTTATAGTCCACGCACATTCTAAGTTTGTCCCCTTTTTTAGGGACTACAACTACGTTGGCTAACCATTCGGGATATTTTACCTCCCGAATGGACCCTATTTTGAGTAGTTTGGTTACCTCGTCCTTTATGAAGGCGTTCTTTCTATCGGACTGGGGTCTTCTTTTTTGCTTCACCGGTCTGAACCTATGGTCCAAACTTAGCTGATGCGTCGTTATGTCCGGCGGGATCCCTGTTATATCTAAATGGGACCAGGCGAAACAATCGATGTTATTGATAAGAAATTGAACGCGTTTCTTCCTGAGTTCGGGGCTCAACCCCGTTCCCAAGTATACCTTTTGCTCGGGCCAGCGCTCGATTAATATGAATTGCTCTAGCTCCTCGATCGTCGATTTTGTGGCATCGGAGTCATCGGGAATTACGAAAGATCGAGGGACCCTTTGGTCCCCATCCTCTTCGACTGATAGAAAGAACATTGAGAAGAACTTCAAGGCAGAGAAGATTCTTGTCGGTGGTATTAGACCAGATGATTACAACTTCATCTCAGCTTGTCAGTCTACTAAGGAGATCTGAGAAGCTATCTAAATTGCCCATGATAGAACTACTCTGGTTACGCAGTCCAAAATTGATATGCTTACTACTGAGTTTGTGCTTTTCAAGATGAAGGATGATAAGTCTATTCAGGACATGCACACATATTTCACCTCCACTATCAATGATCTTCACTCCCTTGGAGAAGTCATCCCAAGAAATAAGTTGGTTCAAAAAATACTCAGTGTGTTACCAAGTTCCTGGGAAAGTAAAGTAAATGTTATCAGTGAAGTCGAGGATCTGTAGAAGCTTACTGTTGATGAACGCATTTGTAATATAAAAACCTATGAGATGAAGAAGAAGAAGAAAGATCTTGAAAGAATAAAGCCCAAAAAGGAGAAGAGCCTGGTTCTCAAGGCTGACAACAGTGACTCAAGTGGTGATGAGACAAACATGGCCTATCTTACTCGAAGATTCCAAAAAATGGTTCGTAGAAATGGAGCAATTCCCTAGAGAGGTAGTTCTAGCAGAAATACCAAAGAAAATGATTAT